GTTTTCAGTCCTCAATTCCTATGCCGGCTTGGACGCGGTGATCTCAGCGTCTTTACTCTGCCGCCATCTTTTAGTACATTCTGATATTGGTAATTTTTAAAGAGGTCTTCAGATGATTCTAACTTGTATCCTGTTTGACACCTACTGATACAAGCCCACAAGTTTAGGGAGGTGGAGTCTCAGGAACAAGTGGATGATTTAATTTTGATAGAAAGGCAAGATGGCTTTAACTAGAATGACAAGTTCTGTTCTTTAAGTTTCTGTGTTTTGACTGTTGCCTCTCATTTTTTAGGTATGTAGGAAATCTTCCAAGGATATTTGACTACTCTCCTTTAGATCCAACACAAGATTTCAACACACAAATGTAAGTGCCCAATTGTAGTTTTTTTAAAGAAAAGTCTCCAAAAGCATTCTGAGTTGGTTATGTCTTGGCTGTAGAATTAAAAGCAATTCTCTTTTTGTCCTTATTTTCTATATTTTTAAATGAACATCTGTTACTTTTCTAGAAATAAAGACATTAATAAAGTTATCTTCAAATACTGAAAGCAATTTGAAAATGGAATCAGTATCAAGCAGATCAAATAAGTTATATGTGAATAATTGAGATAAAATGTTCCACTAAAAGCAGCTGTACTTATTCAAATTCATAGATAATTATATTTCTAAGAGGCAATAGTGATCTTGTTTTCATTTTTCTCTCCTGTCCAGGACTAAGTTAGGACATGGCCTTCTCTCAGGACAGTATTCAAAACCTCCCATGAAATCTGAACTCATAGAACAGGTGATGATGAAGGAAGAACACAAGGTATGTGTTTGCTAGTTGACATGTAGGTAGGAGGACTTGCACCAGCTTGAATGTGGATTTTCCATGATTTGGCAAATGATGGTTGTAATGTTGACAGGCTGTGAGAATAGCTATTTCATCACAGAGTCTAGGGTGTTTGTGTGCTCTCAGAAACTGGTGAGGGATACACAGGTGTGGGTTTCACTTATACTTCGTGGTTATATGTGAGACCACGGTCTTCATAACATAAAATAGAGCTGAGATGAACACACTTAATTGTATAAGAATATAAACATTTCTCCTCGATGACATGGTCTTGACTCTTATGGTGTCTTTCTTCTCCTAAACCTTAAACTTACTTGCTAGGACTTCTCAAGAACCTTGTGGTTGATGAACCACACACGGTTCATATTGCTGAGGATTTTGAATTCTGGGAGGGCTGGGTAGGTGTTATTTTTGGCAAAGCCACCAGGGGGGGATGTTAAACACACAAGTCTGAGAAAGCCAGTTGGTATGCAGTCACTAGTAATTGATGAATAACTGAAACATGCACGTTTTCTCCTAATATTGGGAGCCTTGCATGCCACATATCTATGTGATGGCCTCCCCGGGATGCTCTGGTGTACAATTCCAGGGGGCACTGCTTTCAGCCTAGTCCTTTTCTTAGTCCCTTGGAACTCTGCAGTGCACAGCTTACACAGCTGTGTTTGGCAGCTGTGGCTGCTGTGGCCATGAGCATCCCAAATGGAAGGTGTGTCCCGCTTCTCCAACACCTGCGCTGCCCTCAGAGTCCTGACTGGACTTGGTGGGAGAGGTCTCTCAGTTGTTTCTCAAGTGTTGACCTGTGCTCTCAACTCCTAAGTCAGTCATCCTTAACTTAAGCCTGCAGAGTGAGAGCCAGAATCAAACTTGGTTATAATGAAGCCAGGTGATTGGGGAAATGGCACAAACAGGAGGAGGGAGATTTTGAAAGAGACACTTAGAGGTAGCTTTCTGGTGGGAGAAGGAGGGCAGAGAAGGAGATAGACATTTCGAATGGTCCAGGGCAGGAATCCAATATGGTAGCAGGAGTTCTCCAGTTGTGTTGTTCTCTAGAGCATGGCAAGAAAAGGAGTTTTCTAATCCTTCACGGCTCGAATATCTTTATCTAGGGTTTAGTGGAGAAGATGAATTGGGTACAGGGTTCATATTGGGCTTATCTGTTTTTTTTTTTTAAAGATTTATTTATTTATTCATACAGAACTGGGGTACAGGCCAGAGATGCGGAGGGTGAGAGGATTCACCAAGGACAGAATGGGGAGCAGAACAGGCAGATCGACGAAGTACACTGCTGAGGGGAGCAGCGGGCGGGTCAGGAGAGGTCTGCCATGCCATGTGGATTTCCTCCGGGGCAGGCAGGGATCGAACTCATGTGCAAGTGTCTTAAACTTCTTAGTGCTGTGCTTTAACCCACTGCGCCACCAAAGAGGGCCTATCTGGGTTTTTTCATCCCACAAGTATTACTTCTTGGCCCACATTGGGACAGAGTCCACTCTCCCTTGCTGGAGGCAGAGAAGACTGGATGGCACTCAGGAGCCAAGCTTCCTCCCCTGTCTTGCCAGGGGCATGTGACTGTGGGCAGATCATGTCCACTGTCTCAGCAGCCAAATGGCAGAATCGATGTGGTTCGTCATGAATATTGCAAATATAAAAGTCCTCGGTCTCATGTAAAATATCTGTGTATATTGCTCTGTGTGTTGCTTTTGGAATCTCTTCATTTGAGAAAATGTGAATTGAAAATTCATCAATATTTGGAAGTAAAGTTTGGTCTTGTTAATATCAAAGTGTCCTTTTACATTTGAAAAAAAGTAGCTCTCATGTAAACAAGGCACATTATTTATTCTGTCTACGGAAGAAGTCAGGTTGGGCCTTTAGTCTCCTCCGCATCACTGAATTTAGATACCCCTTGCAGTAGCTCTGCGATCTTTGGGGTTCTGTAGTTTGCAGGTGGGACACCATGCTCTGTCAGGCTGTATAACCTGGCAGCATTTGAGCCGCATCTGGCGGCAAGTGTATTTGCGTGGCCTACACATGGACATCCTAAATTCCAGCTTTTCTTTGACACTGAGGACCTCTGGCCATTCCAGGTCCACGGTTGCTGCTGGCTGGATGTGGGAGAGACCCTCCCTTCACATAGGACATTCTGTGTGGCTTTTGTCCCTTTGTGAGTCGTGACTTGGCCGGCACACTGGATATTTGAATGTGTGACCCTTGATCTAGATTGTTGTAAAATCTTTTTCTGCTCTGAGGTGACATCTTCTAGTGACTAAAGAAAGAATCCTGAATGGGGTCAGTGGTTCAGTGTGCGCCTCGGTGGTGGTAGGGTGGGAAATGAGTGAGTCTGGCTCAGGCATCAAAACAGGGCTTGGGTTGACCTTATGGTTTTTTTGTGACTTTGTGGTGCTAGTTTCAAGTTGCTCAGTAAAGTAATTCAAAATAAAAGCTCCACTCCCCTTGACAGTGGAGGAAATGACTTTCTGAGGCATCAGGCTTTTCACCAGTGGTTGATTACAGAGGAACAACTTTGTGAGTATCTTTCTCTTCTCAGGTAGCAGGAACCCTTGGGCAGGTGGTCTTGTCTTTGGACTGTAGCATTCCTGACTTGTAGATTAGTTTGAAATGTCCCACGAGAGGAAAGGAGATATGCTGAAGTGGAGAAAGGGATAAATTATTAGAGGCATGTTTGGTGGAGGGGATAGAGTATGTGAGAGGGGTCAGAGCTCCCTCTTGAGATGACTCTTTATGGGGCCTCTTCTACCAACTGGCCAAATGAGTTGACATTACACCATGCTTATGGAAGGCCAGGCTCATCCCTATGGACACAAATACTGAAATGGATGCATGGTTACCTGGCCTGAAGTTACTATGCCTGTGGATGGAACTGCTGGGTTTGTCCCAGGCAGCCTGTGCCGCTGGTCACCCCATATCCTGCTCCCCTAACAGTTGCTCCAGCACTTTTTCAAACTCTAGTGCATCAGTGTGTGTGTATGTAGAGTGGGGTGTTACTTGAAGTACCAGGTAGCCCAGTAACTTGGGCTTTTCACCGCTTTTCTATCTTGAGTCATTTCTAGAATGTGTACTTTCCTGGTATTAAATTGGTTGCTATGGACCAAGTTGAACCCTAGTTGTTTTTTTAATCCACACTAAAATAATTCATTTATTTGTCTTTCTGTTAAACCATTTGTAAATTAAAAAATTTTTTTTTGGTAAAAATAAAAAAAAGCCTCACACCTTCTTGGAGTGCAGAGCCAGCAGCTCCACTTAGCAGTATATTTAATAAATCCACCATTCCTTAAAAAAAAAGTTTTTATAGTACTATTGGTTTATATTGTCATTAGTCTTTTGGAAGCATAGGATCTCCCACTTCAGGTGTCGTCACCACAGTGCACCCAGCACCAAAGCTTGCGTAGTCTTGCAAAATAATCCACTGTGCTCTCTCCCTCTTTGTCCTCCCTCCTCCCCCTTCCCCCTTCCCTTCCAGATACTTCAGTTCTATGATTAGCTGTCAAGGACTGTTTTTTAAAAATAATATAACAGTTTATTTTTATAGCATTTTGTGCCTTTCCCATCTCAGTTGTAATCCCCATGGACTTCCCATCACCAAATCACCTGTGTGCCATCACCATAGAAAGACTGATTTTAAAGCTTGTCTTTGTCTGAACCTTTGTTTAGTTTCTCTGTATTCCACAAATCAGTGACACCATTTGGTATTTATCTTTATTCTTCTGGCTTATTTTAGTATGAGTTTGTCTTGTTTTGATCACTGAATAGTATCCTATTGTACATGTATCAAGAAGATATAACACATCGTCTTGATCCCCTCATCTGTTTTTGAGGGGACTTAGTTTATTTCTATATCTTGGTTATTGCAAATAGTATTGCAATAAACAAGGAGTGCAAATGTCCTCTTGAATTAGTGTTTTTGTGTTCTTGGGGTAGATTCCTGGAATAGAATTGGTGGGTCATATAGCAAAGCCATTTTTAGTCTTTGGAGAAACCACACTGCTTTCCATAGAGGCTGGATAAGTCTGCTTTCCCACCAACAGTGTCAGAAGTAAAGTAATTTTTATACATACAAATTTATAAATGTGTATGCTTAATGTACATTCCCACCAGTAAATTGATCTGCAGTATTTGTTTTGGGCAATACCATTTCTATTATACTGAATTTGTTGAGTTGATTTATAAAATTAAATTGTGTCTGCAGAAGATAAAAACCTTATTATAAAAATAAAACCTTACTATAAAAAGACATTTTTTTCTTAAAAAAAAATTCCTGCTTATTAAGCATTCTAAGTCAACACTTTCAAATTGAACATTCTGTAATTTCTTATACTTTCCAATGGTAACATGTTGTGAACGATTTGGTATTTCAAGCAATCTGCATTTCTTAAGTGATAATTCATTTGATTTCCCACCTAAGTAAATCCTTGACACGTAACTCCTGGTACCAGTTTTTGACCAGCATGGATAATGAAAGTTCTACTTCAGGATGCTATACTATAGCATCAAACATAGACTCAACACATACATTATACTCAAACATAGGAACTTTGTTCTTACAACCTCCATGTTCCTAGGAAGAGCAAATGTACATTTCCTTTTTTAAAAAAAATATTTATTTACACATGCAAGAACTGGGAATAGGCCAGAAGTGCAGGGAGTGAGATGATTCACCAGAGACAGAGTGGAGAACAGAACAGGCTAATTGACTGAAATATACTGCTGAGGGGAGCAGCGGGCAAGACAGGAGAGGTCTGCTATGCCATGTGGGTCAGCTCCCTGACCAGGGATCGAACTTGTACTGTGCTGGCTGCAGAAAGCTTCATTGTGCTGAACTTTAACCCATTGTACCACCAGGGAGGGCCCACAGATGTAACAGTTCTGACATTTTGAAATATGAAAAATAGTTTGGGGAATGCCCTCTGTGTTTTTAGTTTAGGGGACTTGTGCTTTGGACTTGGCTTAGAAACTCTTGGACC